TAAATCGACGTTGCTAGCTAGTCGATGATTCCACTTCACAACCGCGGCGACTGTGTGCCGGGGGTCGGCCGTCGTGCGGAGGCGCAGTTGGGCTAAAGTAATTCGATGCTTGCAATTTAATTGACATTGAAGTAAGCCAACTGCAGCCGAACTTGTAAGTGCATATGTATGTATGTATGCAGCTCAAGTTGTTTGCTGCTGCCAACCATTTCCATTTCATTTCCCTTTCGCATTCGGCGCGACGCGAGTTTACTTCATTTCATCTTTTGATTTTTATTTGCCCGTTAATTCCTTTGTTTGGTTGGTCGCGCTGAATATTTTTCGGAAGCTGTGTGTCAGCTACTGTTTCCAATGCAAATGTCAAATTTAATACTCGATGGGTTTTTTTTTTGCAGCGGATGTTTGCTTGCTTGCTGTGCGCCAACTGCGTGCGATACTTGGATTCGATTGTGAGCCGATGCGTCACACTTTGGTTGGGCAGCTGCCTTGGAGGGGTGTGATTTCACATTGGGAAGTAAAGATGCTGGGTTTGAATGTAAAAATTCACACGCACACACACCAACAAATGGAGTGCCATAATCAGTTGTATTTGAATGTATGTCGGCTGTTTATCGGTTGCGGTGCATGTTATCGTCGAATGCTGGATATTCAACTGCCGACATGCCGCATATTTGCTACTCGTAAATTTATTAGGGCGGATTAATTTGTTCAGAGCAAAATTTTCGAAGAAAGTGTATAGAGAATTCGATTTCTACGATTAATTCTAAACAAAAATGGCGAACAAACTTTATACCAAAAATGATGTTTGACCCTCCCAATTTTCAAAATAAAAAGCACTACTCATATGTATGTTGTAACTTTTTTAGTCGAAATTTACTATACTATACATTGTTCACCATTTTTGGTTACAATCGAACGTAGAATTCGAAAATGCTTAACACTTTTTTCGAAATTAAATTACTCTGTCCTAATATATGTGTTATGTATTATTAGAATGCGCCAGAAAAAAAGTTAGCCGTACACTTCTTGGTCTAAACTATTTTTGTAGGTGTCACCCTTTTTCTATTTCTCATCTCTTCGTTCCCTTGGATACAATTTTTTTATTCCAAAGTTCATTCACCTAAAAGACCACATTCTAGTAGTCACCCACTAGATCTCAGTTCCTACCGCCCTAATATCGTAATATTAGAAATTTATCGCCGAACGAAGGTGTCCCAGAAAAATGTAAAAAGGCGACCCCTAGGTTGGGCAAAAATATTTCAAACTAAAGGGTGTACGCCGAACTTTTTTTTGTTTGCTTGTAAGGTGGTGCGGTCTAATGCATATACATACTTACTATGCACAGTTTTTTTGTTTTCAATACTATGCTACCATGACGCGCTGGGTAAATATTTGCTCATGATTAGTGAAAGTGGTGAAATATCGGCAAAGCGTGTTTTTGCCGTTGTGAGATTCGTGATTATGCCTCCGGGATTGGGCGCATTTAGCATGGAACGTGTGGTTTGCATTGCAACTCTGTGAAAATTTTTATGAAATTTAATACGAATAATTAAAGTGATATATTGCGGTGAGAAAACAGCCAAGTGCGCTAAGGTTTAGAGCTCGCAAAATAGTCTAAAAGTGGCGACTCTCACAGTTTTAAAATTTTCCGAACTTTATCAAAGAGGTACTTATTTTGCCCCATTGGGTCTTATGTTCGTGCTCTGGTGCTGTAGGGTGAGCCTCTAATCTAGTCTGTGTTTAACTTGAAGCCCTGTAGCCGTATATTCTGGTATACAGAATCACGTCAGGTTAGGTTAGGTAAGTTCACTAGCCACTGTGTTGCTTCGCCATTGGACCATTAAGGTCCATAGCATTGCCAGATAAGCTACGACCCTATTATACAGCAAAACACTGAGCGTCAGGAGCAATGGTAAACTGGCAAACCTTAAAATATCCTAAGTTGTCAGTGGCTTCCGAGTTAGGCAGGAAGCCTGCTCCAGGAGACTGATTCACAGTCTGCTTAGGGAAAGACACTCACATAGGGTAGCTTCCCCTGTCTCCTCCACTGCACCTCCTACAGATATTATATTTGAACAGATCCAGTTTAAAGGCGTGAGATGCCAGCAGGAATGTCCCGTAAGAACACCAGTAGCCTAGCAACCTCCCTCTTGAGGGGTAACAGAAACTTCTTGAGTTTTATCTCATACGCTTCGCACATAATCCTAGATACCTAGCAACCTTGCGTTTTGATCCACGCCTTCCGGACCATTTTACCCATTCTAAAATATGTAGGTGTAAAAGAAATTCGTAATTTTCTAACCGTCTTAGAAAGAGGGGTAGGTTATCAATTCATCAGAGTATTTCCTTGCACTACGTTAACCGTTTTTGATAAATCTTTTTTTAGAGGAAAGGTTGTTCCTCAATGGTGGTCCCATACCTTTTAATTTGGTTTAGTTCAGATCTTTGGATGCTGCAGAAACTAACGGTACTCCTAAATTTCTGAAATCAGTATTGAAGTCGGGCGTAATCAGTTCTTCTAGTATTCTCGGTATTCTGAAGTATCTGATTCTTCCGACAGGGCATATTTAAATATATGTATATGTATATACATTTTGGTGGTCCAAATTTCTTTTTGCAGCTACCCCCATGAAGAGAATAATATCGAAAATAAGGAAATACGTATTTTTTTTTTTCTCTCGAATGTCAGGCGTTGTCTAGATTGCCTGTTAAAGTTAACGGGTGCTTTGACTGCCCGTCAAATTTGTCGTTCACAGTCGATAAAGCAGTCGATTTGTTTAGCAAGAAAATACGTTTTAATATGCGGTCGAAAAAAGGGGCCTTAGTATAAAACACCGGTCTCCTTAATTTTTATAATTCTGGGGGTGGCAGCAAGGAAATTTTAAACAGTTTATTTTCCTTTGTGTTTTAGGACTACCCTAAAATATATATATTTCTACATACACTAGGCGGAAAATGAAAGCACGCACCTTGTTCTAATATAATATTTACAATTATTTTCATGAAATCTTTTTTGCATTAATTATTTAGGAAAATATATTTCATTCTTAATATAAACCATTTGAATCAAAATTTCACATTTTGCATAAAGTCCACAAAAATTCTTTTTTTTAGAATTTGTAGAAAATTTTCGAGTATGCAATTTTGTAGCCCATTCAATTTAGGTTTCAGGAAATGCAAGTTTCAACCGGCTAAAAAAATTTTGTTTGTTCACGGATTTTCGCATACTTTCCATATGGGCATGAATTGCTTTTGAAATTGGAAAAAAATTTACGCCAGTGTTTTATATAAATTGCACTTGTTACATAAAAACAAAAACGAAAAAAAGTCTAAAAAAAAAAATTCGCTCAAATCAAGGAGATTTTTTAGCCGGTTGAAGCTTCCACTTTGTTAGACTTAAACTGAATGGGATACAAAACTGCATACTCGAAAATTTTCTAAAAGTTCTGAATAAGAAGTTGAAAATTTTGGCGAAATTTTTTTGAATTTTTGTCAGTTTTATATAAAGTCTCACTCTTATGGTTTATATTATAGAATGAACTATATATTCATAAATAATAAATGCAAAAAAATTTGCATTAAAGTAATTGTGAATATTATATTACAGCAAGGTAGGTGTACACTTTTATTTGTCGCCTAGTATATGTATGTATATATATTGGTGTGTATGCGGGCGAGAGCAACGATAAAAAATCATTGGTTTTTTCAAACAATTTATCGGGTATTTGTATTATGTATTCCCGTTGCCTTTGTATGACTTAATTTCTTTCTGCTCCACTCACTAAATACAAGCGTTTACGCCTTTGCGCCTTAGCGCCGCTATGCTTATCAGTTACAAACAGTAAAAGCGGACAACTCGAATGAATCGAAGTGTATATAAATACATACGTATGTGTGTACATACATCTATACATAAGTACATTAAATCTCTCGCCTAAACGTCAGCATAAATCTGGAACTACTACCGCCTATCAGTGGTCATTGCGAATGCTGAGAGGAAACAGCTAAATTTAATTACTTCTACTCAATCCAAAATATTTAAAATTTTTCGAAACTTTAAATTAAAAAAAAAACAGCAAAAAAGTAAATCAGCGCGATGTCTACACCGTTACTCAGCAGATACCTGCAGAATTTTCATCTGCTCATTCTATTGTGCCTTCTCTTCCATTGGATGCACAAGGCAGATGGTTTATATACGATGCGATCACGAGTGCCATGTGAAGATCCTGAACCGCTGAAAAATGGTTTCTCAGCTTCAAAACGGCGTAATATGTTGTTGCAACATTATTGCAATTATGGCTTCAAGTTGATCGGCGATAGGCGGACGCAGTGCAATCGGGGCAAATGGAATGGCAATCGGCCGATATGTGCGAGTGAGTGCAAAGCGAGCGCTAAAGTGAGAACTGTGTACTAAGCAGACACATTCAGATTTCTAGACTTGATCTAATAATGGTTATAGCTGAGTTAAAAGACAAGAGCGCTAAAGTACATAACGCGTGCTTTGGATTTCCAATAGCAGTTCACTAAAGCACACAAGTATTCATTTTGTGAAAGCCCACTTAAATTTCTGGAATATTCTCAAACGTTTAAATTTATAGTTAAGCAGTTCAGATAATTCGATATTTTTTTCTTTCAGAGCCCGGTTGCACCATTCCCTCGGAGAATCCTGAGCATGGCAGAATTCAATATATTGATCAGTATCATATCGGTCTTTATTGCTCAGAGGGCTTTGATTTGGCTGGTAATCGCTATGCTTATTGCAACGGCACGGATTGGGATCGTCCGCTGGGCTTTTGTCGGAGTAAGTAAAATAAGTAATCTGGTAAACAGAAATGCAGCTGATAACGGGTGGCGAAAAGCTGATCCATCGCAGTCGAAAAATTCGATCGGGTAAACGAAGTTGCGTAAAAATAAGCGATGGCATGAAATCCATCTCGCCGCAATTCTGTGCCGTTTCATGCTATTCAATGTGTTCTAATTTTGACAGCGGCTTCGCGTTAACCGGTTATCCGCTATCCTCGGTAATTCTGTTTATCACATAACACAGAATAAGGAAAACCCTTATGACAAGTGCCTCATGAGTAAATTCTTAAAAGTAAGCTTAGACAAAGAAAAAACCAAATCTAAAGTAGAAGAATACGGATTGAATTGGTATAGAGTCCTCCTTAAAGGAGCATTCATCCCGTTAATAGTTATAGCAACACCTACAAAAAAAAAAGAAACAATTTATTACAACGAAGAATACGCGAGGGAATATTAACACAAATTTTCATGAGGAGGTGCGGGCAATCAATAGGGCCTGCAATTATACCAAAGCCAATGCGAAACCGTTTATGCCTGCAGCGATGCCCCTGGTTTTTTCGTGCCGTCGGTGTACCAATGCAGTGTACTTAACTGGGCTGGCCTTTTCAGGTCTTAGGTACTCGATGCTGCTTTTCTGCACTTTTCAGTCCTGAATTCCTTCTCAAATACTATTCTTGGCTGCATATCATCTCTGGCCACTGAGGCAAGCGGGAGCTGTTAACTTAATTTCTCCATATTACTGGAATATTTGACCTTACCTCACGGAGCTAACGAAGGTGTAAGTTGAACCTCAATGAATGCCACATTGTTCCAAGGGTGATGTAGATATGTATGATAAACCTCCTCTTTGAAAGAAATGGGATGGTTTCTGGTGGTTTCAAGTAAGCGCTTCTATGGCAGCATCCCAAAAGAACCTCTTACTACGCACAATGGTGTAATCCTTATCTAGGAACATTTGGGCTTGAACCACTTTTGCGCGTTGTTCAACTGAGTATCGCTCCAGGACTAGGTTTACCAAAGTCTGAAAAAAATACATACATAAGTCAAAAATTAAACTCTCTGCATCTGTTAAGGGTGTTACTCTTTTTTACATGTAAAACAATCGTTGAACATAAATGCTTCGTATGGAAGAAAATGACTGACATTGTCCACAAAAAAGTTGTCAGTAATCAACGGTTAGTTCCATAAACCTCAAAATTGCTTTTTGTTATACTAATATTAAATGGGCTACGAAACTGCATACTCCGAATATAAAAAAATAAAAAATTTAAAAAATCCCGAAATTTTTACGAAAATTTGTTGCTTTTTTTAAAGTGTACAACGATTGAAACTTGGATTTATACGGTTTTGGTTAAGGAATAAACTATATGTTTATAAAAAAGTAACACTTTTTAAGTGACCTACATAGTAGAGGTCGTAGGGCTGGTCGAGTAATTAACGAATTTCCGCTTAAAATTTTTGTTTTTATATGGCTTTGGAAAGAAGAATATTTGTATTATTTAAAAAAGTAATAAGTTTTGTGAGCATATTGTAAATGTGTGGACAATTTTTGGAATAGATCTGAAGTTTACACCAATTTTCATTATTTTTCCACTGCGACAACATTTTTTTCCAGAATTTTAAAAGCAAATAATTTCTTTCAGTCATAAATAATTAAAAAGAATGTTTTATTCCGACTAAAACTAAGTACCATTTATAAAAATCAATAAAATTTTGGAAGTTTTGAATATTTTAAAAATTTTTCCAAAATTACTTCTTTAAGATTTCACAGAAAATTTGAATCAGTCGGATTGGATTCACTTCTAGATTTCAATAGTCTAGAGGAAATCAAAAAAAATTTAATTTGTGTCTTTATAAAAAACGTCGTAAGTTAATAATCTTTTGATTGGTGTTAATGAGTGGTACTTAGTTTTACTCGAAATTAAATATTCTTTTCGAAGTCATGCCTAAAGTAGACTGCTTTATTTTGAAATTTTGGCAAAAAATGTTGCAGAAATATATTTAAAATTGGCTCAAAAAAGTTATTGTTTCCTAAAAAAGTAAAAATATTCTTCTTTTGTAAGTCATATTTATAAAAACTTAAAATTGGTTGAAAAATAACCGAGCTAAAAATTTTTTAGTGCCGAAATTCAAGCGAAAATAACTTTTAAGGGTAGTTTAAGAATTTGAGGATATAAGAAAAATTGTGAAAACTGTTTCCCGAATTACTCGGCCAGCCCTACGACCTGTACTAGTCACTTAAAAAGGTCGTGCATTTTTTTTTATTATTATGTAACACCATATAATTATTCAATTGTGGATTAAATGATCGATTAGTCATCTTTGCCTCTGCGACTGCAACGTTTTCTGCCACTACATTCAACTAATTCGGGCGTAATAATATTTTTACTTCTTCTATTCTTACAGAGCACTCCAACACCGTCAGTCATGAATGCGATTTCGAATCCAGCGACATCTGTGGTTGGGTGGTGGATGTGTCAGAGAGTTTCAAATGGCGTCGCGCCATGGCCGTCAATGTGTTCACATCTTTTCATACCGGACCGAAACACGATCACACCACAATGACAGCAAGTGGCGGCCATTACATGCTGATGGAAAGCTTTGGCGCCACTACAGCGCCTGCAGCGCTCACATCGCCCATTTATGGGCGAGATATAAGCCTTATGACGGCATGTTGTTTCCAATTTTACTACCTCATGTATGGCGCTGGTGTGGGTAATTTGAATGTCTACGTGAAGCCGGTGACGAAGATGTTGTCGGAGGTTATAGAGAATAAGGATAAGTATGTTGCTTTGTTAGAGTGACTGTGGCGGAGCGATTGGTTAATGTTTTAAAATCTTATACATATATGCAGCTATGTGAAATTTACAAAGTCTGGAACTCAGGAAAATAACTGGATTGAGGCGCATTTTAATATCGATGAAATGGAGGACGATTTTCAAATAGTCTTCGTGGCAGATGGCGCTAAAAATCACCTCAGTGACATTGCTATAGACGATGTTAAAATAATGACCGGAACCGAGTGTAAATCCTTGGATAATCACGATGACGGGCCGGATGACTCCGCTGAGTATGAGCCTACAACTACTGGTGAGCTGCCTTTCTATTTTTACGAGTATCTATGAATAACTTTACAACAGGCAATGAAATAACTGTGTATTTTCCCTGCAGAGGCGTCGCTCTACGACACTTTGTCGTGCGATTCACGTTGTGGCCAGGAAACAAACTTTGGCATAATGCGCAACGCAAGTCGACTAATTGGTCTATGCAGTTGCCATGACAGCTGTATTGCTGATGATGACTGCTGTCCCGATTACATCAAAGTCTGCTTAGGTAAGCTACTTACAAAGAAATAAGAAGGATAACTCGAAATTCAGTACTCATTCTTGAATCTCCACAGATGCGGCAGATGACGATCAGATTTCCACAACATCCAAAACCACAACGACAACAGCAAATACCACAACGACAACGGAAAATACCACGCCATCAACTACGACTACAACACCCTCAACAACGCAGAAAACCATCCTTACCACTCCAATAACAACAACGACTACAACCACAGCAAAAACAACCCAAAAGGCAACACCTACTACTAGTACAACAACTACCACTACGACAACAACTCGCAGGCCCACAACCGCTAGTACGAGCTCAACCTCTACGACAACTACAACAACCACCCGTAAGCCAACAACAACAAGCACAACCAGAACCACAACAACTACTCGTAAGCCTACACCGCCTACGTCTACGCGCACAACAACAAAAAAAACAACCACAAAACGTACAACGCCAACAACAACGACAACTAGAAAACCTACAACGCCTACAACAACTAAAATAATAAGAACAACAACAACAACCGCAACCACAAAACTATCAACTATCTCAACCACTCGTAAGCCCACAACAAAAACAATAATTTACACACAGCCTATGCTGGAAACAACTACTGGCGCTACGACTAACCGCAAGGTATCTGAAGGCGTTACGATGGAACTGCCGCGTAATAAAAGTGAGTAGCTAAGCCATGTTAATTTTTTAATTATATTTCATATAATAACATACGTAGAAGATTAGCTTCGATCTCAACTCGTTTATCGTACCAAGCACACTAATACTTCAATTCGGGCAAGCCTTCACTGCAGGTTTTTCTTTTGGAAAAATGAGCTTACAACTCGAAGGGGGTCATTCGTCATATTAAGTACAAGCAAACCCTGATGGAAATGGGCTATTAAACTCATTTTTCACCTTGTGTCCTTTAAGCATCTTTGCTCTATTTAAAAAGCTACTCGAAGGCTTTAGATCGGGAAGTTCTCCTGGGCATATTTAGTGTTTCAGTGGTCTTAATTGCGGTTATGGTTGTTACCGTATATGTCAGGTAATAGGCTAGGTGGCAGCCCCAAGTGTCAGGGTCTCACTTAGACAATTAAGAGATTGTCTAACTTATGCGAAGAAAAGCCTCGAGTCGATTATGCAATTACGAATTCGGATAATCTCAATGCCCCAGAGCTGCCCGAAGCTTTTAAGAATGTGAGAGCCTAGTACTTCAATCTTAGCCTTGCAACTGCTGGGCATCTAAGGAGGTAGTTTTGAAGTGATTCCAATTCGTCGTATTACAGGGCACTGCGTCACATGGGATCAGGCAGTTTGTTCAGCCGTACTGCGTGAATAACGATTGGACAGTAACCCGTTAAAACCCCCACCAAAAGTGTCAGTTATGGCTTTGTAAGTGTGTGGAATAACCTTGGCCGTTCCCTGTCCACCCGTGGCCAGAAAAACCTAGCGATTTCGCAGCAATCCAATAGTGAACCACAAGTGATCAATGGCACTCCCAGGAGTTCCTTATCGGGCGATATTGTTTCAAGAGTACCTCACCTAGCCACTTCATCAGCTACAAAATTCCCCGAAATTGTGCAGAAAAGAAGCTCGTTGGAGCCATTGCGTTGGCGCGGTAATCCGCATGATCAGGGATGAAATCGAAGTCTTACAGAACTCCAGAGTGTCGAGTCCTTAAGTCGGTCAACTAATCGGCTTCCCTGGATATAAAAGCTATTTGCGCTGTGGGAATTTTGCCTGTCACCTCGTCAGGCGCTACGTTCAGCATTTGGTTGAATGTCACTGTGAGATGGTCGCTGTGCGCCACGTGCTCCAGTTGCTTAGCTTGTGTAGCCTTTTCATGTAAGTTCCACAAGACTAGGGTGCCATAAAACTATAGGCTTGACTGTCTAGTTTAATCAGTTTCAAACTCAAATTGTATTTGGTTGAAATTCACTCGTAAGTGAATTGCAGATCGTGCCTGATATGAATGCAGTCGAATAGTTCCAAATTATAGTTTTCTAGAGCGATCGCGGACTCAGAACTGTCAAGATTGTTAAACCACAAAAAAAAAATGTATTATCAATTTACAACTCTTTCAGCAATTCGAACGCGAACCAATACCACAAAGCACACCTGGCAATGGCAACCGAAGCCAGAAACCAATCCACGTCAATCCATAGCGCTCTTTTTTATATTTGCGCTACTGCTTATCGCCATCGTGACGGGCGCCATCTATCGACATAGAGAACCACTCAAAGTCATTTGGGTGAGAAAATTATTGAAAAAGAATCAGAATGATGGCGGTGCTGAGGACAGCAACTCGATAATTGCAAACTTCCATCCCGAAAGTGCAACGCAGAATGGTAGCAGCACCGCTAGTGCAAGCACGGTGGGAAATCGTTTGAAGCTTTCATTACCCAGCCTCAGGCGGAACAAACCGGGGTGTAGAGGGTCGGCAGACGAACAATCACTGTGTGAGGAAAATGATAAAGATGACATACCGCTGTTGTAAGTGAGATAACTGGAGTGATACATAAATACAGACATAAGTATCTAGATGGGATTGTTTTCTATTGAGATTGAAAAATACACTCATACGCATGTTAGTTTTAAAGTGTATAAGATTGAAATAAAGCTTTGAAAGTTGCTAATTTTTAAGAGTTAATGCTGTAAATTATTGATTTCATTTCTACTTATAGCCAGTTTCGCGAAAGCACTTTAAGTGAAAAAAAAATTCCTTTATTTGAATTTAAGTAATATGAAAACTAACAGAAGGAAACAAGCTATTTTTTACTAAAATTGGTGAACAGATTAATGATTGCAATTACCATTAACATTTCCACTACCGTCACCACTACCACCTTTATTACCATTTCCATTTCCTTCAACATTACCATTATACTTACCATAAAAATTTGCATTACCACTACCACCACTCCTTAGGCGCGACTACTACCAACAAGCGCTCAAATGCATGCTATGTACTGCTGCATGTTCAAAATTTTCTTTCACATGCACTTCTCAACTGTCATGTAATAAAACTTTCTTAAGTTATAATTTGATGGCACTTCAAAGTATACTCGGCATCCTCCAGTAAATGCTTCCGGAGATTATTACGGACTCTGCATGGCTTACAATCGTGCAGAGGTGGTAATATGTAGTTGATTACCAATGGCCATAGTGCTTACGCACTACTTTTTGGTCCAATAAATATCTTTTTATTAATGAATGCCAAGATACTGGTTTCCCCTCTCACTGAGTTAGTCAACTACCATTGGCATTTCCGTTACCATTTCCTTTACAGTTACCACATATGTATGTACATTGTTTTTGGATGGACAGTTATTATCTTTTTTATGCAAATATGTCGCCTGGAAATATGCAACAAAGTTTGTATTACTTTATATTTTGTTCATAAATATAACTTTGGCTTAGACCATCAGTTTCGCATTCTTCGCTATAATTAGAATCAAGGGGACATATTTGTGTTTTTAGTTTCTGTGGACTTTAAAATTCTTTGCATTAAGACTTTGTCTGAGAATACCCATAATGAAATTTTACGGCGTATAATTTTCTACAAAATTTTAACCCTCTAGCAACTCCCAAACGGCATGTTATTCAAGCTATCCAAAAAAAGAGGTAACAAGACCCCCATTTGAGAGAGCTGATGGGTTGAAATATGAAAAGTATACCTCGTAAAACTGCATATTTCGCTCTGATATACATTTTTCCCCCTTTTCCACTTGTTCTAAAAGCATTCAGGCAAAAGATTGCAAACCATAACATGAACAAAAATTTCACCTGATAATACAAAATAGTTTGGAGGTTTTACTATATCGGGAGCTAGAATTATGCCGGGCCCGGAAAATTCCCCTGAAATGGCGAACAGTTTTTAAGAAAAATGTTTTTAATTTCCGTTAAAATTTGTCTCAATATCACTTCAGTCGTATAAAGTTGCTGAGATATTTAATTCATAATAAAATTCCTTATTCGCATGTTTTCTTAATAACATAAACTTTTCAATACTCCCATAATTCCATTTCAATTTCTTTACAAAAAACAATTGTGTCCATCATACATCATTTTTCCACATTATCATTATTTATGCGCCCTATATTTTTATTCCTAAGTGTATTGAATAGCCCTACGATACTTTTTTCGATTTATCAACCCTCCCTCTTTCCCTGTTATAAAATCACTCAACCGCGCATAAACGCTTTGAATACAAAAAAAATATAAAGTCAACCAAATCAATAGCAATCCTTCATTGTGTAGCTCTCAAAATACCCAAAGTACAATGGGAAGCGTAAATAATCGAATCATTACGTCGTCGATGCGCTAAATGAGGAATAAAGTGTCATTTTCCACCCTCCCCGGGGGGTAAAATGCACCAGCGTACGCCTTTTTAGCATAAACTGGTGGTTGACTAAACAGCCAGGTTAGCCGGTGGTAGCCTTAGGCATTGGCAGGTCTTTTATTCCTTTGCCGCAATCAAGTCGAGCGTTGCACGTGCAAGAATGCCTCCGAACACGACGCGTGCATGTATTTCCTCTAGCTCAACGAGCATCCATTCGGAGCTTGCTTCCTGCATTTCACATTTATCAGCTGGCCAGCGGCACAACCCTTGGCGTAGCCGGTTTGACAACGGTTTATTGGATCGGCCGCTTGGTTACTTTATTGGTTGGTTTGACTTGGGATTATCGGTTGTGATTTAATGGTTGGGTATTACACTTTTTTATTTATCTTTTTGCCAATAAGATGCGATATTTTAAGAAGTATTTATGTACACAACTATATGTGCATATGTATACGAATCTACTGCATAGCTTAGTGATTAGATTACTTTGTATTGCTTTAAGCGTTTGGTGTTTTCATTTCGAGCTTAAAGCATTCCAAAGCGAAATCGAAGTTTTGTACTTTGCAGACGTTTGTAACTGTTATTAAAAGAACGTGCTGTTGAAAGTATATCCCATATTTAGCACTAAAATCTAACCCTCAAAGAGACCTAAGTAAACCGTATCTGCATGGTCCTGCGAAGCGGGTCTGTTGAGAAGGAAGCGCTTGGATGATTCTACTTCGCCCTCTTTCGAACAGCTTCGCAGCTTAACGTGTCAGGGTTTTGATCAAGCCATCACCTCTCCGACAATTGGTTAGGTTAGGTTAGGAAGGCACGTACGAATGACTCGTACTTCCACTCGGAGGCAGATTTGCCTATTGTAATGCTCTCTGTGAGTGCCAGGAGAAGGCCTTCAAACCGAGGTTAATCCATAGTGTCAGTATAAAGTCTTGCAAACCAATTACTATCCCGGATGAAGCCGTGGATGTTCGATATGTTCACTTCCGCTATCTCCAACAAGCTATTGAAAAAGCGTGTTCCCAAATGCTGGAGAGGCCTTGTCTGGAGAGCTGGGCATTGACATAAGAAGTGGTGAATCGATTCCTCTTCATCCTCATCACGACAACTGCTGCAGATGGAGGTTGTTGGTATACGCCATCGATGGAGTATTGGTGCTACAGCACAGTGCCCTTAAGAGCCCTAACTGCAGATTTGTTTAGTGTCAATAGTTTCTCAGTACGACTCTTATGGAGTCTCGGCCACAAGGAACTTGATAGTCATCCCGGTTGATCCAAAGGTTATTGGTTACTGCTGTGGTGTATTCTCCAATCCTCCTAAGCCGAAAAGAAATCTGTGGCAGTAGAAAGTTATCCGCTTCGCTAACTTGCATTTCAGAACTCTGTCTAGCCATCTCATCGACTATTTCGTTCCCTTCTGCATTGCTATGTCCCGGAACCCAGCAGCGAGAGATTTTGACGTGACTCAGTGAGGCCAGCTTTGCAAGACATTTGCGAACCGATTTCGACTTTACCACACTGGAACTACTGTTTTCAATTCCGCCTGTCTGTCAACGAATATAGTGACCCTGACAGGTACTTACTATCCCGCTGTCCCGCATGAGACAGGTCACCATCTCTGTGGCAAATATCTCCGCCTGAAAGACACTGCAGTTATCAGGCAGGCTATATTGATTTCAATGAGGAAGATCATTTTCACTTGGTTCTTAGCTAATTCAGTAGAAACAGAGCAGTTCATTGGTCTAATGCCGGTAGTTTCTCACAGTTCCGGATTTGTTGGGAAAGGAGCATCGAAAAGAAGCTTAAGCGATTACTCTCCCCGTACCACCCAGTGTTTCACGAGTTATCGCGACGATACGCCATAATCCCGAAAATTGATGGCAGCTCTACATATTTTTGGAGCATTTCGTCCTTAATTCGTATAGTAAAAATGAATGGATATTAACCGGCTATCCGGATTTTATCCATACACACAAATATCCGAACAGATAACCGAATGCACGGATAGTCCTAGTCCTAGTACGCAGTCCACTTAAGCCGTTCTTGAAATCATTCATGCACTCAATAATCCTGTTGTATTCTTACTTACCCATTTAATTTAGATTCAAAAATGTATACTCTCTGTCTATCCATCACCCACTACGTCGTTCATCATTTGTTAGCTGGTGGGGTTGTATGACATTGATTATGCCTGTGAGCGCGACATTTGCTTTGTTCTTGCTGACAGTTGCAACCTCTCATCTGCTTGCATGCTAAATGCGACAACAGGCTTGTCACCCTTTTTGACGTCGCAAACGCCTTTGTATTTGCACAGCCGCTTTGGTCTGTCTAACATCCTGTCTTCCTGTCTATAAGTTGTTGGGTCTTTCTATGTTGTCCAAATCATTCCTGCGCCTTTTTCCTCGCATTTTACAGTATCTCATTGTTTCATTTGTTTCATTCCCCCCATTTTACAAAAACAAAAAAAGTATTTTCCTTACTTTGTCTTTATTTCTGCCCGATTGTTGCGCATAGCTCAAACGTTCGATCATTCTCATGCGCCATTTCACCAGAAATAAAATTTTAATTAAAAAACAACCCTGCAACTTTGTATTTATGTAGATATGTATGTGTATACGATATGAAGTATAGCCAGGGGGGGTGGGAAGGACATTACTTGAGAAAGGACTTTTTGTTTTGCCATAAAAATTCGTAGAAAATCGCAGACAATCAATTTTAAGTTTCCATTTATTGGGTTTGAGTGCATATTTTAAATGTAAGAATGTTAATGAGAAGAAGATTATGTTAAATCGTTCGATATGTCACAAGCGGGGTGGTGGTGGTGGTGCTGCGCGTTGATTTGGGGTTGAACGTGATTGTAATTAAAAATAATTAAAAAGTTTTTAAAGTCCTATTACTTACAAAGAAACCTTTTTTCTATTTTCAATAATAAAATTCGGGACTGGTGTATTTTGTTACGATTGAAGTATGTACATACATGAGTATGCAATCTCCAGTTAAAAAAAAAAAAAAAATAGCGGAAGACATTGGGAATTAAAAAATAAATGTAATGCCACAGTTTTATGAACACAGATACAGCTACTTGTATGCCACCTCAGAATGGCAGAATATATTTGTTTGAGTAATATATTTTTTTTGCATATCAGCAATTCGTTCGGAGATTTTTCGTGCGCTGCCGAGGGCCATCGTTGTTAGAAAATACTCGTTTGCTATATTTGCTAGCTGCGTGAACCTAAGATCGAACTCGGTTTCCCCTGAGGCTTCTAATCGCTTACGCAAATGAATTTAGTGTACTAGCGTCATGAAAATTCC